ATCGGAAGAAACAACAATAGAGAAGGATCATAAAAAAGCATAAAAAAGAGTAGAAGTGTAATATTGAAAACGGATCAAATGAAACAGGTTGACCTATATTCAATTCAATACAAATCAGTCTGCTATATAGTCATAAAACAAAAGTAAATGTCTTATTTCTTATTACATATCGTCGTCGTTTTCCCAAGTTGTACGAAATTACATAGAATTTAGTAATTTTTAGTATTTTTGACTTACTGTTAGATGAGGCGTTCTAATACTGATATTTTATTGGTTGATCTGTTAACAGTTCTTTATATTGCAAAAAAAATGATGAATGCGTAGAAGAATATTGTGTTGAATTGGTAACTTATATGTAGCGCATAGTCCTTTTACTGGGTATTTTTTTTCCCTTTCTTTTGTTGGGTTTTTCTAAGCATGAGTCGATACTTTTACTAAGAAAAACAAGAATCTTATAAATATGCATACAGAAATCTATAGATTAAAGAAGGATCAGAAGAAAACGGAAAGATAATATAAACCAGCAAAGAAAATACGTGATATATTCGAACGATATCACTGGAACAAAAATATTGACTCGTGCTGGGAAAAAACCCACCAGAAGAAAGAGAAAAATAATACCCACTAAAAGTATTGACTCTCTCTTAGGCAAATATTGACGATTTTTTTTGTCGAGTGAAAGAACACATAAACACTATTTTTGTCTTTTATTGAAGTCAGATGTGGACCATTTTTCTTTATGATTGCCGATTTCGGCAGTATGATACAAATTTCGTTTAACATAAAATAAATTGTTTCCTATCGAAACCATTTCCTCACAAGTAAAATGTCTTAATGAGATACGCACAGCGGCGTTCTCGTTTTTGAAAAAAGAATATGACGACGTGCTGCAGGAGGAGGAACAATTAGAAATAATACAAAGTAGACCAATGTAAAAATGAAATTATACATTTCTCAGTTAACACATCGTATGTTTGAGAGTAGAACTATTCCTAACAAAAATAACGTTCTGACTATCTCACAATTTGTTATGTTACTCCCAATTTTGTCTTTTGCTTTCTTTCTTCATCTTGTCCAAACGCAGTCAAAAAGTTTTTTCTTGCATGGAAAAAGCATGCTCGCATTTTAAAATCGGTAACATTAGCTCTAAAACACTACAATTTCTGAGTTGTTGCTTAGACCTAAGACCTGCACTTTGTTTGAATAAGACGCCTGAATTGGCGCATAAGTAAACGCTTCAGCGAGGAGCAATTGTTTGGAATTCTTTTCTCAGCTCTAGTTATATCATGTTTTACTCGGACTTTTCTTCGAGAACATGGTGTAATCAACTTTGAGGAAAATTTGTTTTAACTATATGGCTAACTGTACAAGAGAGAGCGGAGAATATTTTGGCGTATACCGCTTGTCAAAAGCTTTTTTCGTTACCGAATTATGATTAGAAGAAAAAGCGCACAAATAATTTCTGCCGTCACTGTATATTTTATATCCAGATTGCATTATATATCCATAACAGTTTAGAACAGGTCCAACTGCAGATTTAGAATATGTTGATCATTAAAAGCTATAAACATGTATAATGCTGGTTATGTGGCCTTACGTCTCTACGAAATATTGTTTGCACAAAATTAAAGAACTGTGTTCGGTTTCTCAATTGTATTTCGTTTTCTACGTTCTATTTTCTTTAAGTCACATAGAATATTATTGTCGTTTTTGTTGATATATTTGTTTTTGAATGCAGATGTAATTGATGTACAGAATAAAGCATAGACAGTATTGACTACAAGTCGCTAGGGTGAGATCTCTATCGTGCTTGGAAAAAGACTTCCACCATATCTATCTATTGGCTTTTTTTGATAGACCGCTAGTATTAAGATTAAGAAATATATGTATTCGTTGCAGTGATGCTGATGCGTGTTCGTTTCAGAGACGCGTGCACTTTAGTCTACATTACAACTACTGTTGCTGACTAAACAAATGTCAGACACGAAGAAAAGTCTACATAAAGTCGAGAACAACTGTGGATAAAGAGAATCATCGTGATCAAACCGTAGTTTTCATAATGGAACAGAGCTTTTCTGTAACAGTTAAAATTAGGTATGCACAACGACGTCGAATACGCTTAAAGCACAGTGTCGTAGAAAATGTAGGAGATACTCTTTTAACTATAAGAACTTAATTTCTTCAAGTAGTACACTGTATGTTCTGCAACGTGAAGTAAGTGCAGAAGTCTCAATGTCTCTCGAATGATGAATATTATACCAATTAATTTGTTTATTCTAAAAATATCTTCTTTTTCATGATTATATGTAACAAAGAGGTTCAGTTGTTTATTAACAACAACAAGCGAAACGGCAGCTTAAGATTTTATTTATTCTATTTTTAATATAGATCCTTGTTTGTATTTGCATTGTGAAATACAGTGTCATCATGCTTAAAAATATAAACGCTATTGATTCTAATAATGCTGAAACCGACGATGTTATTGGAAGAAAATATCCTGTTGCATAATAATACGCATTCAATGCAATTCGGGGTATTTCTGCACAAAATAAACTTAAAATTGTTATCATAATACGTTTAATTATAATTAAATCACGTTGATGATTTTCCCGGTATCGGCCACATTTTTTATTTTTAATATAAAACATAATCCATAAATAAAATATTGTGGTTAATATCAATGGTATACCATACATCGTTAAGACAAAATAGACAAAGATCGATGGTGTTCGTGCTATACAATAATATTTTTGATTTTGATGAAATATTTTTTGTTTCAACAAAACAACAGGTAGAAATACGAGGCAACAAAAACACCAACGAAATAGAATAATTAAGCAAAATGTTGAACATTGAACTAAATATTTATATTTGTACAAGACTACACAACATAAACGATAAAACGCTTGTAACGAATATGAACTATAGACAAGACAAACGGATACATAGAATAAATAGGCAATCAATTCACAACTTTGACCACCAATACCGACGCCTGATGCATTATTTATATCATCTAATAATCGAGATAAAGCTACATAAAGTAATACCGAACAATTAAACAGAATACATAAACATGAATTTAATGATAGTAATATGCAGATCCATTTAGATTTAGAGGATGACGATAATTGATTTTGCCGTTGTTGTCGATGGCAAATAACTAAAATGATAATCAATGATAAAATAATGCTAATACTAATGAATATGCACGCTAGGATATATAGTATAATGTGACTGATCGTCATTTCAATAGTTACATTATTGTGATTAGTTACATTACATGAGCCATCTAAACTCTATATGGAATTATAATCAAAACTGGAACTCTCTCTTTGTATAAGGTAAAGTGAAAAACATATTTATTCAAGATATGAAGAAACTTAAGGGAATGAGTATGTAATTGATTCGATGATTTACGATTTAAAGAACAGATGGATTTTTATGTCATTCAGCATAGAATACCGAAGGCGAATTATTTTGCTTTAGTATAAATATAATTATCCGCATTTGTGGTTATTGTTTAAAGAAATTTTTGATTTTACCTACGTTTTATCAACGTTAGAAATTAGGTACTTTTGCCGCGCTGCACCAGATTAGATAAAAATTGGGTGCTAGGTGCAAAATTTTTCGGTGAATCGGGTTCCTTTTGATTCTATTTTGACTTCTTTTCTGGCGTCGACATAATCTACGTGGCTTTTGCCTAAATTTTATTTTTCTCATTTTGTTATTAGTCTTAAGGAAAAGGAAAAGAATGTGTCATCTTTTAAGGTACTGTTTGCTTGTCTGAAAATATTCAACACATCAGACAGTATTTTGTTATTAACGTAAGTGATAAATATCTCTTAGTATTAGTTTTTAAACCGAAATTTTGATTGCAGTCACTATTCACACAAAAGAGTATTGTCAAAATGTTAACACTTTTTTGAATTTCATATAGAACGAGTCAAGAAGTTAACCAACAATGATCTTCTTTGTGCTTTTCTCTAGATATTTTCTCACTCATAATAATTGCAAAAAATGCTTGATTCATTTGACGACGTTTGCCAAATAGATGAAGATGAAAAAGCCAGTTAATAATTTCTATTTTGTGACTATTTGGGATTCTGTAAAACATGTCTGCAACTAAAAAAAGAAAAAGACGAAAAAAGAGAGTTTAACAAATACAGTGAAATTCATCGTTTACTGATTGTTGATTACAACAACTAATCATTGTTGGTTAACTTCTTGACTCGTTCTATATGAAATTCAAAAAAGTGTTAAGTTTGACAATACTCTTTTGTGTGAATAGTGACTGCAATCA